GAAGGGAAGGGAAGGGAAGGGAAGGGAAGGGAAGGGAAGGGAAGGGAGCCAGTTTCTCCTGATAGAAAAGTCTGCAAGTACCAAATCAAACCTGGACTCTGCTACCCCACTGGGTCTCCCACAGTCATCTGGAGTTCTCCACGGCGTGGGTAGGGCCCAGGACTGCATTCCCATCCCTTGAGACGCATGTCGAATGAATGTGGAGGAGGAGAAGCGGGCTTAAATGAATCAATGCATATGTACCGAGGGCCATCCATGTGGCAAGTACAGGGGGAGGCACTGTCACCTGTGTCTCCCCCATCATTGTGGAGGTGGAATGATCACTCTTATTCCAGGTGAGGACACTGAAGCAGCTGGCCAAAGAGCCAACCCGGTACTCAAATTATGCTTTGGAGCTAACAGATGACCGACAACAACTTTACATATGAAGAGTTCCTAAGTCATTTATTTTTTTAACGGTGTCAGTGGATGAGTTTTAACATGATCATCCTGATCTAGAGAAGGTCTCAATGTTGCCCTGCTCGGCCCTAAGCAAACCAACATCTGCACTGAAAACCTGGAGCAGGTGCCGTGGGATCTCTGTAGTAAGAAAACTTGAGAGAGGTAGTTCCTATACTAAATGAAAGGGTCAGGATCCAGGTGATCTTGAAGGTTTAAATGAGGAGCTAGATCTAAAATGAGGCACTCTTCCGAATTTATTCAATTAAAAATATTAAGCCGGGGCACCTGGGTGGCTCAGTCGGTTGAGCGGCCGACTTCGGCTCGGTTCATGATCTCACAGCTCATGGGTTCGAGCCCGCGCGTTGGGCTCGGTGCTGATGGCTCAGAGCCTGGAGCCTGCTTCGGATTCTGTGTCTCCCTCTCTCTCTGCCCCAACCCACTTGCATTCTGTCTCTGTGTCTCTCTCAAAAGTAAATAAACATTAAAAAAAAGATTTTTAAATAAAATAATAAATAAAAATATTAAGCCAATTCATTTAAAGACTTGTCAGATCCATAAACCCAACTTTATAAAGAGGGGGGCCGGATGTCCTCAGTAGGGATTCAAGTAATTAATTGGCTGTGCTATGGCACTTACCCTATTGTATTCTAATTGCTGAAGAGGGGGAGAGGCAGGAAATGGTTGTGTTCAAAGTGAAAGGAATGAGTCTTGAGGTAGGGCAGGGCCCCGGCCAGCAGTCCAAACTACCACATACCTCTTTCACTTACTAGGTGCCTAGTGGAAATTCTAGAAGTTATATGGGGATAACTAATTGCCATTCTTACTGCAGATAATAGCCGTTCCTATCTTACAGAGACATGGTGAGGATTAGATTAAATAATAAGGAATTTAGTTATGCCTAGTACATAATAAGCACGTAATAAATATTAGCCATTTGTTATTATTTCCAATTTTTCCATATTAGAAATTTCTACAGCGTACATTTTCATTAAAATTTCTTTTCATGTTTGTTTATTTCTCTTGGGAGAGAGAGAGAGAGAGAGAGAGAGAGAGAGAGCATGAGCAGGGGAGGGGCAGAGAGAGAGGGAGAGAGAGAGAGAGGGAGAGAGAGAATCCCAAGCAGGCTCCACACTGTCAGCATGGAATCCTATGTGGGGCTCAATCTCCTGAACCATGAGACCATGAGCTGAGCCGAAATCAAGAGCTGATGCTTAACTGACTGAGCCACTCAGGTGCCCTAACGTACATTTTAATTTATATGAAATGTTTTCCTCTTCAGGTTTATTTTCTTTAGCTAGATCTGCAAAAGTGAAATTCCCACACCAAAGTTCTCTTGAATCTCCTACACTTAGATCTCTTCCTACTTCGTATGTATTGCCAAATGATGTTCCTAAAGAGTTTTAATAATACCCCCGTGACCAGCCACAAGGAGACCAGATTTTCAGTACCATTACTAGTACTGGGGAGTATTGGTTGAAATTGATTTTTAGAGTTGATGCTTCTACAAATGTCCACCCAGAGAATGAGTCATCCGGGTTTGGCCAAGAACACAGCAGGGCCAACCAAGTGGGCTGGAATGAATCCAGGGGCAGAGACGGGCCTCCAAGGTGGAGGAAGGCAGAGATAAGAAAACCAACAAAGGCAGGAGTGTTCCCGGTCGCTCAGGACTGGAAGGAATGGGGCTGCAGGATATACGTTGACCCTCCAAGAATGCTGTGGATAAGCACAGATAAGACAAGAAATCCCTGAGGCCTGAGTACCTGGTGCTAATAGAATAAAGGAAGGACAGATGACAGGTGGGGAAGGTTCCTGGGAGCCCAGGCCATGGAAACTGGCAATGGGTGTGCGTAAGAGTGTTAAAAGGAAGGGTCCCCAGGCACACCTTCCTAGGGGGGTCATTCAGAAAAGAAACGTCGGGAGATTCAGAGTCCCTACATCCTTATAAGCATGAAGCTGAAGTTCCTAAGCATGTGGGTCCCAAGAAATGCTACGCCCACTGTACTCTTTGGGGGAAAGGGGATATGGAAGCACCTGTGCTTGGCCAGACCACAAAGCACAGGTCCCCCAGAGCTCAGTTTGGAAGTCTGTGGTCCTCACCCATCATTTCTAATCCAGACACTGAGACACGAACTCTGATACGCACGTTCATTCTCAGCAGAATAGAGCGAGTTGATTTGAAATTCAAAATGTAGAGGGCCCAAGAATCGTGTGTGTGTGTGTGTGTGTGTGTGTGTGTGTGTGTGTGTTGGTGGGCTAAACGCCAATTCCGAGGCCATCCCTCAGAGATGGCGTCTGGGTGGGTCGGAGATGGAATCCAGAGAGGTGTACTTTAAACGAACATTCCTGCGGGTGGCCAATGGGCCATACTTTGAGAGTCTTCTGTGTTCCACGGTTGTGTGTTTGGTCTGTATGAGAACTCTAAATAGGCTGGTGACCCTACTACCTGAGTTTAACACTCACACAGACCTGGCATGGAGCTCCTGGGGTGGGGACCCAGCCATTTCCAAAGGGTGAGGGCCACAGGTGATTCAAAGTGGCCACGTCTGTGGCTGGCCCTAAGACTGTAGCTTGCAGACTTCCAACTACGGGAGCATAACTAACCAGGGGCCCCAGCTGCTGCGTTTGAAAGTCACGGCTGTGTTTGTGCCAAGCCACCCTTGTCACGGCTGCTCCCAGTGGCTGAGCACAGCTGGAATACTAAGGCAGACCCAGTCCTGGGAAACTCAGACTTCTCCGACGGCTGATGGGACAGAGGACCCCCCAGTGGCCTTGCTGAACCTTCCTTAGACTATACGACTGTCTAGGATGTCCCCTTCTCCCTCTCCTTCACGCGGGTCGGCACGAGAAGAATCTGAGAGCTCTGCAGCCTCATCTGACTCACTGCCCATTTCGGTTCACATAGGTATTTCCCCTAGTACAATGCTTGCAATGTAATCCTGTCTTGCCGTCAGCTTGTCGGAGGGCCCGCACTCATGCAATGACCCAAAACGTCCCACCTGAAATACCCGCCCCATGGGGACCACCAGGTCAGAAAACAGGCCACGTCTGCGGGCGGCTCGTGCGGCTTGACCTGTACAAAGGAGGCCCGAGCCACACTGGGCTGTGGTAGTTTATCCTATGGTCCTGCGCCCCTGAGCTGGGAGGGTCGACCAGGTGTAGGAGAGCTGTGGTGACAGAGCCCTGGGAGGCCTGCAGGAGGGGTGTCCTGTGTTCCTGGGATGCCCCCAGAATGATGAGAGGGCTCACATCACCTGGATGGATAACTTTGGGCCCTGAGAAAAAGACACACCTTTCCCAACCCACAGAAGGAGAGCTGGGAAGATAGAGCTTGATCCTTGGCCCATCCCGCACCCTCCTTCCTCCCCTGCCTCCCACCTGCCGGGAACAGGAGCCCCGGGGACAGGTGGGCATGGGAGGCCTCCTCACCCTGGCACGGGCCCCACTCCCCTGCTCTGGCCTTGCCGCCACCCCCTCTGTGTGTTAGCTTCATCCTCATGGTTTTGGTCTGACCCTGTCAACGTCCGAGGGAGACAGGGTTGCCTCCAGAAGCTGCCTCGGAAGAACAAGCAAGAGCCCATTTGCAGGCCAACGTGGCATACGTCAAAAGGAGCAGTGGGGAGAAAGGAGAGTTAGACAACCCACACAGGTAAAAGCAGTGGCAATGGAGACTTTGGTCCCCCCCCCCCCCGCCCCCAAGGTCTCCAGGGGCTCCCTCAATCGCTCCACATGACAATACAGAGAACAGATCCTTTCTCAGCATCCGTGAAAGCAACAGCAGGAAAACGTTCCTTTTGTGCGTGACAGGCTTACCGCGTCAATGCCGGCCTCCCCCGGGAGCGGGAAAACCTCGGGGGGGGGGGTGCTCACACCCATAGGTTCACAGGCTTGGGGGAAAGGCAGGGGGATGGAGGGGGGCATGGCCGCCTCCCAGAGACTGGGCTTCCTGGAGGAGAGGGGACTGTGGGTGAGGTGAGAAGGAGGCGCGGGCCCCAGAGGAGCGAGGCAAGGAGCTGGGTAGACACGTGGGACTCTACGGTGGGGTCTTGTCTTGGGGATTGTGCTCGGCTCAGAGGGAGAAATCACATCCGGTGGATGGTCCAGAAATTTCCCCCACCACACCGCAACCCACTTTGGGTTTCCAGCTCTGAGAGTGACAGTGTCATAAAACATGGCAAGGCAGCCGGGGCAGGGGGCGGGGGGCAAGCTACCGGCACTGGTTGCCCCCACCCCCGGGCCCCACAGAGAGTAGCCCTTCCCTCCCCAGCACTGCGTCCAGGAATACAACTCGGGAGGCGCAAGGGGCACAGATATGGGAGGACAAATCACCTCTGGAGAGACTGGTCATCCTTTCAAAGTAGGAGTCACAGAGTGTCCTGCCTTCTCGGCCCCAGTCCCTCAGATGGCTCCCGCATCCCAACACAAAAGCTGAGGTCTTTTCGGTGGCCTACAGGCTGTTAAGGGTTAAATTGTGTCCCTCAAAAAGGACACGCTTAAGTCCTAACGCCCACGCGGTATCTCAGAACATGGCTTTGTTTGGAGTCAGGGTCTTTATAGAGGTAATTAGTTAAAATGAGGTCATTGGGTAGGCCCTAAGAAGAAGGGGGGATTTGGACCCAGACACATGCACAGACAGGAAGACAAGGAACTGCGGAGCCAGGAGAGGGGCCTGGAACGTCCTTCCCTAGAGCCTTCAGAGGGAGCATGGCAGTGCTGTCACCCTGATTGTGAACTTCTAGCCTCTAGAACATTCCATTGTTTAAGTCTCTCCGCTCCTGGCACTTTGTTTATAGGCAGCCCCAGCAAAGCAAGACAAAGACCCTGCAGACCTGATCCCCTCACCTTGTCCATCGCTCCCACCCTCCCCTGCAGAGCCACCCCTTCCCCCTCCATAGATTCACCAGGCACCCCTCCACCTCAGGGACCTCGCTGAGCTGTTCCCTCTGCCGGGGATGCTCTCCTCGCCCTCGTGGGTGGGGGGTGGGTGGGGTCTGCCTGGCTCCCTTTCTCCCCTCCCTCAGATCTCTCCAGAAGTATCACCTTCCCGATGTGGCCTTTCTTCACCAAAGATTGAAACCTTCCCCCTCGCGTGCACCTTCTGGTTCTTCTCACTCTGCTCCGTCTCTCCCCGTAGCTCTTAGCACCTTCTAGCATGCTATGGGCCCTCCTTATTTACTACCTCTATTGCTTCCCACCTGTCTCCCCCCATGAGAAGTTGCACGCTAGTAGCCCAGGGATTTTGTTTCTTTTGTTCACCTACGCGTCTAGCACGCTGCTGGGCGCGCGGCAGTCATCCACGGTTATAAGTACACAGAGAAAATGGCCTCGAGTGGCGGATGCACGGTGCGCACGTGTGCATGTCTTTCACGGCCGTGTCCACCCCGCGCTCAGCCACGCTTCCCACCCGTGGAACGCTCCCCGCATCGCACGGCGCATGAACTACGATCCTCATTTTCCATAAACGAGGAAAGCGACACTCCCGGGGGGTTAAGAACCTTGCCTGCACCACTGTGTAATCCAGGCTTTCTGATGCTGATGCCACCCTGGTTCCCTGCTGGGTGTCGGCAGGGGCTCCGGCCAGGGGAGACCGTCCCTTGCCCGGTTTCCTAGGGATCAGGGTGGTGGAGCCAGGGCAGCCGCTGCCCCACGGCCCGAGCAAAGTTGTTTTTAGAGTGACCCTGAGCCACGGCTGGCCGCCACCCAGCTGGGTATCTCTCGGGCTTCCAGGCTTGGCTCCCCGGTGACCGGCTGGGTCCAGATCACCCTGGATCTGCCACTCACACATGTGCCGGGGAGGGCAACAGAAAGGGAAGACGAGAGAGGGCAGTAAATGAGGGCAGGGAGATGCAGCCTGTTGAAATTCTAGACTCACCAGGAGCCAAGTGGGCCGGGAGGCTGGCCTTGCTGGCTGTGCTCAGCAGGAACCCAGTGGGCAGAAATCCCACTGCCCAGCTCTCCTGGGGCGGGGGTAGAAGGGCAGACTGTAACTCTGTAGTCGTATTGTGAAGACGAAGGAGGAAACCAGAGCAGCTGATCCGGCCTGGATCCCAGTGCCCACGTGCGCACAGATAGGCCTTTGTGTCCCGGGCCCAGACAACAGGCCACATTCTTCCCCCACCTCAGTGACGTCCTTCACGGACATGTCCCCAGAGCACATTTTCAAAGGATTAATCAGCTATGGATCAGATGACACGGCATTCCCTCTGCTACCCCCTCTCTGCCCAGGCTGCGCCTTCTCTTTGTCGTCTCCGAGCACAGAGCGGGTGGCCGACCCCAGCCCCGCCGACCGGCTGCTTCCAGCGGCCCCTGCACCGCTGTAGGTACTGTAATCTTGGGGAGGTGAATCTCAGGACACGGGGGCTAGACGGGCGAGGGCAAGCCCAGCCCACCTGTTTTCCTGCAGAGGTGTTGGCATCAGTGCTGAGGCCGTCACCCGGGCGCAGGCCTCCTGTGCCCGGAGCCATGGCCTTTCTGGTAGGTGGGCTGGGCTGCCCCAGGGATCTGGCCATCACAGGGCCTGGACCACCTCCCAGAGGAGCCTGAGGGGGAAGGCTTCCTCCTGAAGACACAGCTCCCACTAGCTTGACTCTCTCTCTCCTGCCTGGCTGGCTTCCAAGGCAAATGGGCTTACTTGCCCCGGCCGAGGCAGGCAACAGGGAGCACACTGGGAGGCCACTTGTTCTGCTTAACAACACGGTGGGACCGCTGAGTGCAAGGTCAAGTACCAGTATCCCTGGGTGTAGAATATATCCCTCAGACACTAAATAGGGCTGCTGCTACGGACTGAACGTTTGCGTCCCCCACGCCCCACCCTTGCCACCGCCACGAAATTCTTATGCCGAAGCCCTAATTCCCAACGTCGTGGTTTTGGAGGTGGGGCCTATGGGAGGTGATTTGGTGCAGAATAGGTCATGAGGTGGGGTTCCCATGATGGGGTCAGTGCCCTTATAAGAAGAGGAGACCAGAGGGTTCTGTATCAGACAAGGACACAGCAAGAAGGCGGCCATCTGCAAGCTGGGAAGACACCTCTCCAGACCCTGAATCAGCGGACAGCTGGATCCCAGACTTCCAGCCTCCAGAACAGAGAGAGAGAGAGAGAGAGAGAGAGAGAGAGAGAGAGAGATCTGTTGTTTAAGCTATCCCAATCCGTGGTGGTTTGTTGTAACAGCCCGAGAGGGCTACGACGGCCACCTTCCCTGGCTTCTCTAGGCCATGCTTTCCGAGGAGGAAGACCTGGGCTCTCCTCTCAGCTGTGGCAACTTCAAACCACAAGATCTTGGAAAAGGAGGCACCCTCCCGCCCCCTTCGAGTTCTCATTGTAGAATGGGGCGTACAAGCTCTGCCCTTCACCCCTCACGGATGCTGGGAGGACCACATAAAACAGCAGACGTGAGGGGCGCCTGGGGGGGCTCAGTCGGTTAAGCGTCCGCTTCGGCCCCGCTCACGATCTCACGGTTCCTGAGTTCGAGGCCCGCGTCGGGCTCCGCGCTGACAGCTCAGAGCCTGGAGCCTGCTCCGGAGTCCGTGTCGCCCTCTCTCTCTGCCCCTCCCCTGCTCATTCTCTGTCTCTGTCTCTGTCTCTCTCTCCCTCAAAAATAAACATGAAACATTTTTTTAAAACTTGAAAACAGTGCATGTGAAAATAGGACTCCAACGACAGTGGCCACGATTTTTCCAATCACTACTACCACGACTATTGCCACTATGGCTGCTATTAATATTATTATCACGATCACCGCTGTTATTACGACTCCTACTTCTTCAGCCCCTTCTTTTTCTGCTGCTTCAACTAACTCTACTCCTACTACTAAACTCCTACTTCTGCTTCCACAGCTACTCCTCCTCCTGCTTCTGAACTCTCGTCAAGTACTAAGCAGACATCATCTCACGTATCTCCGATACTTTCGCGTATAAAGGACCTCAAGTATATCCAAGTATACTCACTTTCAAGTGTAAAAGACCCTTGTGCTTGAAAATAACCTAAAAAGCATAAAGCTAACTTTCAATTAGATGTTTTTATTGTATCAGCCGCCATAGTGTTCACACACATTGTTAAGGAGCCATACAGCTATGTTCGAAGCCTACAATTTATTTTCTACAAAAAAGGCGTGGCATCCTTACAGATTTCGGGGCCTCCTACAATACGTCGAGGCCCTCTCGTTCCACTGAAGCCGCAAAATAACCCTGCGATGTGGGTAGGAGCCTCACTTTACACATGAAATCATGAGGATCGAGATCACGCACCCAATAAACGGCGTAGCCAAGATACAATACCAGACTGTCTGACTCCACGTTTTATGCCCTTCCCGCTGTCCTACATTGAACATCGTCCAAGCCAGTAAAGAGGGAAGCAAATCTAAACTGCTGTTATTATCCAACCAAACTCACCGAAGCACTGTAAAAAAAAACAAATGGGCTGCATATGTTACTAATAGTATATGTTTGGATTATACGTTTAAAATGGCCTTTCTTGGGGCGCCTGGGTGGCGCAGTCGGTTGAGCGTCCGACTTCAGCCAGGTCACGATCTCGCGGTCCGTGAGTTCGAGCCCCGCATCGGGCTCTGGGCTGATGGCTCAGAGCCTGGAGCCTGTTTCCGGTTCTGTGTCTCCCTCTCTCTCTGCCCCTCCCCCATTCATGCTCTGTCTCTCTCTGTCCCAAAAATAAATAAACGTTGAAAACAAAATTTAAAAAAATAAAAAAAATAAATAAATAAAATGGCCTTTCTTTTTGGCATGTAGGTCTACGAACTTCAACACATATATGGATTGACATAACCACCACCACAAGCAGGGTACCGAACACATCCCATCAGCGGAAAATTCTCCCTGGGGCTCTGCCTTCTTGGTCACACCCACCCTCACCTTCTCCTAACCTCTGACAACACTGAGCTGTTCTCCGTCTCCATAGCTTGGTCTTCTCAAGAACGTCCTATAAATGGAATGAGACAGTATGTAAGCTTGTTTTACATTAAATTTTTAATCTTGAGGCAAACGTGGGTTCATGCAGCAGTAAAGAATAATATAGAGATTCCATGTACCCTTTTTCGACTAATCCATTAACGGTACTGGCTTGCAAAACGATAGTGTAATACCACAGCCAGAACACTGACGGGACAGGGTCAAGTTATAGACATTTCCAAACCCACAACAATCTCTCCTATTGCCCTTCATAGCCACACCCACTTCTCTCCCACCCTACCCCACCTGTGACACCCACGAATCCATTCTCCATTTCTAAAATTTGCCATTTCAAGACTGTTACATGAAAGAACTCATACAGTATGTAACCTCTCGGGACTGTCTTTTTCTCAGCGGAATTCTCCAGAGCTGCGTAAGCTGTTTCTGTGTATTGATAGGTGGTTCCTTTTCACTGCTGAGTGATATTCTATGATTTGGAGGCACCACTGTGTGTCTAACATTCACCCTTCGAAGGGCCGCTGGATTGTTTCCGGGTTTTGTCTATTACAAATACATGAGTATTTGTATAAACGTGAGTGCACGGATTTTTTTTAAAAAGCTTATTTATTTATTTTGAGAGAGAAAGAGCAAGAGAAAAAGCTTATTTCTTTATTTTGAGAAAGAAAGAGCGAGCTGTGAAGGGGCAGAGAGAGAGAGAGAGAGAGAATCCCAAGCAGGCTCTGCATTGTGCCCAATGAGGAGCTCGAACTCACGAACTGTGAGACTATGACCAATGCGGAAACCAAGAGTTGGATGCTTAACTGACTGAGCCACCCAGGCCCCCGGGGTACAGGTATTCCTGTGAAAACTTGCTTTTATTTCTCTAGGATAAATGCCCCGGAGTATAATATATGAGTGATCCAATTCCTCCGCATCCTTGCCAGCATTCGGTGTTGCCACGATTTTCTTTTCTAGAAGCCATTCTGATAGCTATGTGGTGATACCTCACAGCTTTAATTTGCATTTCCCTAATGGTTATTGATGTTGAACAATCCTTCAAGTGCTTGTTTGCCATCTGATTATCTTCTTCAGGGCGATGTCTATACATGTCTTCTGCCCATGGTCTAATTAGATCGCTTTCTCTTTTTACTGTTGATTTTTTAGAGTTCTTTATACATTCTGGACACTAGCTCTTGGTTGGATATCTAGTTAGCAAATATTACCTCCCTCCATTCTATAGCTTGTCTTTTTTTTATCTTCTTAACAGGAGCAAAGCAAACATTTTAAATTGCTATTAAGTTCTATTTATCAAGTTTTCCTTCCATGAGTTATGAATTTGGTGTCAAGTCTAAGAACTCTTTGCCTAGTCTTAGGTCTCAAAGATTTTCTATTTTTTGTGTGTCAAAGTTTTATAATTTTATGTTTGACATTTAAGGCATTGAGCCATTTTGAGTTAATTTTCTCCAAAGGTGTGAGAGTTACATTGAGACTCGTTAAAAAAATTTTTTTTGCCTACTGATGTCCATTTTTTCCAGCATTATTTGTTAAAAAAAAAAAAAGTGAACCATTGGGGGCGCCTGGGTGGCTCAGTTGGTTGAGAGACTGACTTCTGCTGAGGTCATGATCTCATCTTTTGTGAGTTCAAGCCCCGTGTCAGGTTCTGGGCTAACAGCGCACAGCCTGCTTCAGATTTTCTGTCTCTCTCTCTCTGCTCCTTTCCTGCTCATGAGCATGCACTCTCTCCCTCACCCGCTCTCTCAAATAAATAAACTTATTTTTTATTTTTTACTTTTTTTATTTAAAAAAAAAATTTTTTTTTCAATGTTTATTTATTTTTGGAACAGAGAGAGACAGAGCATGAACGGGGGAGGGGCAGAGAGAGAGGGAGACACAGAATCGGAAACAGGCTCCAGGCTCCGAGCCATCAGCCCAGAGCCTGACGCGGGGCTCGAACTCCCGGACCGCGAGATCGTGACCTGGCTGAAGTCGGACGCTTAACCGACTGCGCCACCCAGGTGCCCCAAATAAACTTATTTTTAAAAGAGTGAACCATTAAACTGTTCTTGTACCTTGTCAATAATCACGTGGGCATGAATTGTCCAGAATAGGCAAATTTATTGAGACAGAAAGTAGATAAGTGTTAGGCATAGGACTGGTGGGGCACGGAGGACAGTTGGGGCAAAATGAGTGTGACTGATAAAGGATATAGGGGTTTTTTGGAAATTAATAAGAGTGGGCTAAAATTGATTGTGGTGGGGCACGTGGGTGGCTTAGTCGGTTGAGCGTCTGACTCTTGGTTTCGGCTCAGGTCATGATCTCATGGTTCATGAGTTTGAGCCCTGCATTGGCCTCTGATGATTAGTGATGTTGAACATCTTTTCATGTGTCTGTTGGCCATCTGTATGTCTTCTTTGGAAAAATGTCTATTCAGATCCTCTGCCCATGTTTAGCTGGATTATTTGGAGGTGGGGGGTGGGGGTGGTGGTGAAGAGTTGTATAAGTTCTTTATATATTTTGGATATTGACCCCTTATTAGATATACCGTTTGCAAAAATGGAAATAGCATTTACTGGGTTGCTTTTTGTTTGGTTGATGATTTCCTTTGCTGAGCAAAAGCTTTTTATTTTGGTGTAATCCCAATAGTTTATTTTTGTTTTTGTCTCCCTTGCCTGAGGAAACATATCCAGAAATATGTTGCAAAGTGCCATTTTCAAGCAATTACTGCCTATGTTCTCTTTTAAGCATTTTATGGTTTCAGCTCTCACATTCAGGGCTTTAATCTATTTTGAGTGTATTTTTGGCATAAGAAAGGAGTCCAGTTTCATTGTTTTGCATATAGCTATTTAATGTAATTTGTTTTTGAGAGACAGAGTGCAAGAGAGCACACAAGCAAGTGGGGGGAGGGGCAGAGGGAGGGGGTGAGAGAGAATCTCAAACGGGCTCTATGCTGGGCTTGATCTCATGACCATCGTGAGACCATGACCTGAGCCAAAATGAAGAGTTGGCTGCTGAAATGACTGAGCCACCCAGGCACCCCTGTAATTATTGAAATGCAAGGAACTAAGCCTTCCATTTTATTTTTTGTCTTCTGTTTGTCAGCTTTTCATGTCTCTGTTTTCTTTTTTCTGTATTCCTGTGCCTTACTTAAGCACTTTTTTGAATTCCACCTTTATTTACCTATACTGTTTTTGAATGTCTCTCCTTATGTAGGTTTTTTTTTTTTTAGTGGTTGCTTTTGGTATTACTCGTGCCATCATTTCACCAGTTCAAGGAAAGCATAGTAATCTTCCCTCCCTTTATATCTTTTTCCCTTTATAGTATACTGTTCTTAAATATTCCCTCTACATACTTAGAACCACAATAGAAGTATTATAATTTTTGCTTCAATTATCAAACTCAATTTAGAAGACTTAAGAGGGTTGTTTGCCCCTAATTTTGCTTACCATGTTCTTTATTCTCCCTGATGTTCCAAGATTCCTCTTTTTTTTTTTTTTTTTTTAAATCATTTTCTTCTGTTAAAGAACTTCCTTTAGCCATCCTTCTAGGGATGAAATTTCTAATGAAATTTCTAACGAAATTTCCTTTTGTTTTACTTCATATAAGAATGTCTTTATTTTCCCTTCATTACTGAAGACTATTTTCTTAGATATAGGATTCTGGGTTGACATTGTTCAGCATATAAAAAAAACGTGGCACTTCTTTCTGACCTTCATGGTTTCTGATGAGAAACCCATTGTCAATCGAATTCTTTGCCCCCTCTAGCCATTGTTTCTAGGTCTGTTTTTAGATTTTTTTTTCTTTGTCTTAGTGTTCTAAAATTTTACCGAGATATGTATTGTCACGGGCTTTTAAATTTTTATCCTGTTTGGAGCTCACTCAGCTTCTCAAATCTGTAGGTTTCAGTATTTTTCCAGATTTGTTAATTTTTCAGCCATTATTTCCTTTAGTACTTTTTCAGCCTTGCCCTTTTCCTGCTCTTCTTCTGGGACTCCAGTGACACGAGTTACATCCTTTGTTATGGTCCTGAGGTTCTGTCATTTTCTTTGTGTTGTCCCTCTGTTGTTTAGACTGATGCTAATTTGGGTAATTTTTATTTTATTGTCAAGCTCACTGGTTTTTTCCTCTTTCCCTTCTATCTTCTCATTGAGTTCATTCATTGAGCATTTAGTTTTAGTTATTGTATTTTTCAGTTCCAAAATACCCATTTGGTTCATCTCTATACCTTCTATTTCCTCATCGAGACTTTCTATTTTTCTCTGAGACTCTTTATATTTTCGTTTGTTTTTAATGTGTGTTCATAATTGGTTTTTTTTTATGATGGCTAGTTTAAAATATTTTTTAGATAATTAAAAAAATAAAACCTTTTTTAGATAACTCAAAATTTCTGTCATCCTAGTGTTGGCATCTACTGCTTGCCTTTCGTCATTCAGTTTGAGACCCCCATGGTTCTTGGGTATGATGAGCGATTTTCTATTAAAACCTGGACATTTAGAGTATTAAGTTATGAAATTCGTGATCTTATTTAAGCCTTCTGTTTTAGCTGGCTGTCTCTGACACTACTCCAAGATGGAAAGAGGTGGGGAAGGGCGAAGGGGAGCCACTTCATTATGATTACGTAGAGGTAGAAAACCAGGTCCCTCACTTGGCCCTGGCTGACACCTGAGGTGTTATGCTCGTCATTACTGTAGGGCAAAGGTAGGGGTTCCAGCTCCCCACTGTGCCTCCACTCTGTGGTATCTTCTTGGCTGGGAGGGATAAGGCTGCTTCATTACTACTCCCCACATGGCCACCAGAGACACCATAGGGTTGGATGACCTCTACACCATCGGGTAGTGATGAAAATCCTGCCTCTACGCTATTTCTGACGTTACCTCAATGGGAAGCAAGAGGGGAGCCTTGTTATAGCCTGTTAGACATGAGAGTTTAGGCTCCCTATCTGACCTTTGCTCACATAGGAACTATAGTTTTGCCTATGGTGCTTATCTAAAGTAGAGCAGTTAATTTCTAAAAGTTTTCTCTCTTGTGAGGTTGCCCTCCACCTGACCACTTGGCTAGAGAGGGCAGGCTTTTGTTAGGATTTTTTGGGCCTGCACCCATTGGAATTTCCAGGTTGCCAGCTTCTTCAGCGTTTATTCTTGGATATACGAGGCAAAAAAAAAAAAAAAAAAAAAAAAATCCTAGAATGTTCAACTCTTTGTTCTTCAAGTCTCAAGGTCCATAGCTGGTCTGTCTTCTTCTCTCAACTCTCAGAGTCTTTTTATG